CTAGTTGCAGTGGTCTTGGTCCCAATCCATCTTCTGTCCTTTGATCTATAGCTCGAAGGTTCACGCCGTTGTTGCTGTCGTCGAGATCTCTCAGGGCCTTGATTTCGAGCTTGATAGCCTCCCAGAACAAACGTTTTGTTATCGGTGACATTTGCTTCATCTCGGAGACGAGTTCTCCAAGGGCGGAAATGTTTGCCAGCAATCGAGACCGAAAAAGCTTGTTGCTGTCGCTCACATCTGGTGGAGTGGCGACTACTATGCTTATAATCTTTGGTGGAGTCGTTGCAACGGGTGTCGGAATATGCTTCCTTTTGCGCCTTCTACTTCTACTACGGTGGCGGTTGCTGCGATTTTCTTTGTGCTTTTTTGCATAGATATCTTTCAGATTTTCGACTTTCAGTTTGAAGGGCTGCCAGAATCTTYGTATTCCTTCCGGGGTAGTATCCGGCATTTCCTCAAGCTCCCCGAGTGCAACAATGGTCGACAGCAGTCTTTCCTCATCGTAAGSATCTGTCATGGCTTGTAATGCAGTGGTAGCACGGCTCACCCCTTAGGCATGACTCGACCATAGCAATATCTTATAGGCAAGTCGAGGTTCCAAACGAGCGGCAGAATAAAAAGGAAGCTCCTTGTTCGGAAGATAATCGTCTTGACACGGGTGCATCATAKTTGCATTGATGAATTCGGCAGAAATGAAATGCTGCAATTCATCAGAATCAAGCGAGCCTGATGGATGTATTTGTTGGATGAAAGGCAATAGCCCAGGAGTCAGAGCAATAGCTCGTTTCCGAAACCGTTTTCTGAACGGTGTAGTCTACCATAATCGAACCCGTGTGCGATTAGGACGAAGACAAAACGGAAGAGAAACATTGTTACTGTAAGGGAGTCAGTCACAGCAGTACTAGTACTAGTACACTACTGTATATCGAACGCAAATCTGACCATGAAAGGCACGTGTGCAATTAAAGGGAGATCCTCTTACCTATTTTCACGTGCAGTGTTACATGCACCCGAAGAAAGTTGTCTGTGTGAGGCACATAAATCAGGTTCTAGCCAGCTGCCGAAGTTTTTTGAGAGTCGTTCGTATCGTAGTAAGAGTACGGTACCAGGTACGGTACGAGGGGATTGTCAGTCGACTCACATTTTTGCGTGACGGTTTGATCGCGCGAAAAATCCAAAATCCGAGATATTCTGATTTGTTTCGTGTGTACGCTTCGTATCTAAGGAAAGTGTCTATAAATCATATAGTCATATACTATGAATAAATTTGAAATACTTGTTCCAGTCATGCATGCACAGGTCGTGGGGAAATGACGCCCCGGATCGCTACTGAAATTGAATTTTGAATTTCGAAAAGTTGACTTTTACGGTTGTACGGTGAGTCTAGTACTC